CTGTGGTGTTTACCATTTGTTAAGTGTAGGAAACCCGCTTAAATATTCAATAAGATGACGAAGTCCTAAAGTTCAACTGAGACCAACCTTGTTGCGGGATGATTGTTACGTCAGAAGAGCCACCGTGACTAACAGTAACAGCAGTTTGGTAATTTCGCAAATAACTTGCAACTTTCTCTAGCTCTTTTCTCCTAGCTTCTTCTTCTTCTTTATCAACCACGTCAGCTAGTGGTTCTCTTAATTTTCTCTCAACAATATCAAGCGCTGTTTCCTTTCCCGCCTTGATCAAGAACGAAGGCCCAACGAGGAGGGAATAAAAAGGTATAGTCAGCAAACGAATCAAATGGCCCACCTAGAGAGAGCTTATCCCGGTTTCCCTAGCATGAAACGACTTTCCCTGGCAGAGGAAGTTTTCCATCACAAGCTACTATCTCCTCACGCCCCTGAACTCCATTCCTGGTATTCCGTCCAGTTTCCCTTAATTTTGACCCGTACTCATTTATATAGAGACTGGTCTGAGTTTTTACGCCTGCGGGAGGGGCCAGAGAAGTTTGGTTGTCACAATAAGAAGGTAGTATTCTAACTGATACCTTCTCAAGGGGAATCAATTTTCTACAGTTCCCCCTTTATACCCGATTAGTGACGAATGATCCCCCTCCGTTCTTCTTTAGCATAATTTGCATAATGACTGGTGCCTTCTTTGTTTTTCCCATACTGTCCCTGCCCAGACAGCTGTGCGGGCAAAAATTGCGATTTACTCTAATTCAGGATCGCCACAGATGATATGTTTGGATTCTGCGAATCTATCATACCTAGTGTAGGCTTCCTATTGGCGAAAAGCGAAATATTTTAAACATCGCTGTGCTTTCCTGATTTTTTGTCCATGAACTTTGTAAAATTCTGGTAAAAGAAATTTTAAGAAATTCCTAGTGGCCCTTATAAATGTTATCTAAATATGCATTGAGATGATGTATAGTTTAGTATCCTTACAATGCTTCGCTTGGTACGGTCAGCTTTACTGTGTGGATTAGTCAAAAGTTTCTCCACCGTCTTCAGGTATCCCTTCTCAGCTGCCAAGTGTAGGGGCGTCAAATTATACTAAGAGATTAAGAGAAAAAATATATTGTTTTGTCTAAGGTAACTTAAAGCGGAATACGCCTGCCCAACAATTTTTCACGATTGGCCCATATGATGGAGCCATCACAGTCTTGACTTACACGATTTAAAAATAGATATACGTTTATATTAATGAGCTGGCCCCGGTTGTTCGAAGGACGGATAACGCTATACAGTGAATAAATCCCTATCCGGTGGATAGCGCAGTACGTTTTGGTAACACTTATCCGATGGATAGTGATTTATCCGTTGGATAGCGCTATCCGCGCTTTGAACAACCGGGGCCTGGTAAATAGACCAGAGTCAGGAGAGATCCAAGGTCCGTGTAACTGCTTGTAAACAAGACGAAACTTTTGCTTGTGGATGAGATGGATGGGAGAGACCACTGTGTCAATTATTCAAGCCAGCTTCGAAACACTTTCGAGAATGTTCGGACATCTGTGGATGTAAAGGACTTCTGTAGCTACGAAAATGCTTGCGCTTTTAGGACAAAATTTTCACGCCTCTTAGTAAAAAATGGATTATTGCCGTTTAGGCAGAATTTTGAGGAAGAAATGGCTGGAAGAGGGTAGGAAAGTAAGTTTCAGAGAAGGTGTGCGAAGGACGGAAAGAAAGAAGTTTAGTAGAAACCAAACATTATTTAGTGCTATCGTCAAGATTGAGAGTAACATTACTTTAGAAATTAAAGGACAGTGGAATGCTCAAGTAGTGATGGAGGGGATGTAGGTTTGATAGAAGGAAGAAAGGCGGTAAGGAAGAAACGAATGAGGCAGAATAATGATGGAGAATTATAAAGTGAGAAAGTTGTGCGGTTGGAAGAGAATTCATTATAGGCGTAACATCAGGTAAGGGAAATGAAAGTACTTGGAAAGAGTGTCAAAGAGAGAGAGGGGAGACAACAACGGAGAGTGAAGCTTCTAGGAAAGAAAAATAGTTGGGAAAAGACAAAATAAAAGCTAAGGAAAAACAGGGAGTAAGAGGCTTTAAAAGTAGAGATGAGCAAAATAGTTTCAATAAATACCTAGAAAATATCAGAAACATACAGAATCACCAAAGTTAGTTTCAGCTCCATGTTCTAATAGCATGTCGATGAGCTCCACATCACCCTCTTTGTCACTTACAACGAAATGGAGGGGTGTCCAGTTTATCTGCAATGTTTTATGAAAAGAAATATTGAATTTTATCTGCCCTTCATCATGATCACCTGGGGAACAGAGATTTACACAGCTGATATACGTGTAACTCCCTCCAATAATCAGATACAATGAATATATGAAGTTCATATATTTTGAACTGCGGTATTAAATACGTATGATGCACGATCCTTCGCAGTAGATAGCGCTATTTAAATAGCAATAGCGAAAATCAGACTAACAATAAACCTAAATATTTATTTGTATTTAATACCGCAGTTCAAAATATATGAACTTCGTATATTCATTGTGTCTGATTTATCATCACGGGTTTATTACGAATCAACTTAACGGCCTGCTCCCAGATGGCTTGTTAGGTCAATTGGTAGAGTGCTGCACTAGTATCGCAGAGGTCACTGGTTCGAATCCCGTACAGGCCTGATTTTTTTCAGGTCTGATTTTCGCTATTGCATAAATAGCGCTATCTACTGCGAAGGAACGTGCATCATACGTATCCCTCCAATAATGCTGACACAGGGTTCGGTGGATTTAGATTTACTTCCAAGGTCTCTTTGATTTGAAAAATGATCTATAAATAATAATAATAAATAGTAATGATAACAATTATCATAATAATAAATAACTGCATAAAAACTGTATAAAATTCAAATCCTACCTAACAATATTCCTAAAAATTGCATTCATTTTAAACTAGCATAGCTAGAGCAAAATAAGAGTTCACTAGTAAAATTATCGACATAAAAAGCAACTCATAATATTGATAATAATAAGAATAATTTTGATAATATGGGCTAAGTGTATTCGTTCATTGGTAAAATTATCAAGATAAAAAACAACTTATATAGCAATAATAATGGTGATGATAATTATTTATATAAAAACTATATCAAAATTCAAATCCTACCCAACAATAAACCTAAAAACTGCATTCATTTTAAACTAGCATAGCTAGAGCAAAATATGAGTTCACTAGTAAAATTATCGACATAAAAAGCAAATTATAATATTGATAATAATAATAATAATTTTTATAATGTGGGCTAACTGTATTCGTTATCAGGCCAGCCAGAAAGATTCAAAAAAGAAAGATTCTAAGAAAGATTCTTAATTCCCCTCTGGATAAAACAAGACGGGTGTTGTGGAAAATAGCTATTCAACAAGTCTCTTCGTGAACTATATCATGCTCATGAAGTGGAAGTCCCAAAATCTTCTTTGTTTATATAATTATGAACTCTTCTAACTCTTATGTAAATTATCGACATTTTAATCGCGTATTTTGAGCTTGTAGTAACAAATTCCCAGATAAAATGTACATACTGATCTGATCTGGACAAGAGAAAATTCGTAACAGATATCGGCAACTTACATGAAGAAAATTAAACAGGAGCATGTTTTGATCAGAGAAGAGTCCGAAGAAACTGTAAACAGTCGCAATTCACTTCTGGCTTACAATGCGTGACTGAAATCGACCATATAATGAGAATGCCATTTCCGATTCTGACACTTCCTTTATTACAGAAACTAACTGCAATTTGAGTAACAATAGCGATTGACCAACGCAAGTAAGCTCACAATAGCGACTTGCGAGCGTAAAATCGAAAATGACAACACGGGTGTTTTCCCAGAAACTGAAATTTGACCTCGACAACGTCAACACCTGAAAGGAAGTATATTCAAGTCACGTATGGTGTATAATTTTGCAAACCAGATTTCATTCTGAATTCAAAACCCAGTAGAGAACAAAGTAAAATGCCAAAATAAACAATAAGACGAAGAATCTTTGCAGATTTTCACTGTTATTCATAGTAATATACTACTTTTTCAACTAATTGACGGGTTGATCAATGAGTTCTCAACGATGCGAAAATGCTCATAAAAATGCACGACTGCAAAGTGTACCGTTGAATGAAATTAGGAGTGTGTTTTCGGGAAAGAAATGCCGAGGAATGTCATCAAACCACACATCTTCTTGTCATGAGTCAAGTTTTAGTTATGTTGGAGTTTATGTATAGGTAAAAAGCAGAGGAACAAATTTAACAGTTAGTAGCAACAAAATGGTTTTGAACACTCCGATGGATTTTGCCTTGAAGCAATCATGTCTGACAATTGAGTTTTGATCAGCCGCCGTAAAAAAGCCACTATAGTCTCGTTTTCAGTATGAAAGTAGAGTTTTTGTCGTGTATAACTTACGAATAAGTGTTCTAAAATATCAACCAAGAGATGCTACTAATAATCTTTACAAAATGTGCAGTGTACCTGCGAATTATCGGGATCTCTGAAGTTCGGTTTCGCTCCGTTTCTAAGAAGTTCCAGAACTCGTTGTTTATCCGTAGGATTATTTCGTAGAGCCGTCCAAAGCTCTTTCCCTTTGCAAACTATATCGTCAAAATCTACTTCTCCCGTTGTCTCTGCCATTTTAAGAGTCCACGAAAACTAGCAGTAGCTAATGAGAGTGTTCTTGATTCTTGCGCAGCTCGTGGCCTAGCGGGGACTGTGACAACAACAGCACATTTCCGAATCACCTTTAGCCTCCTTTTTAAAGCGAGGCATGGTGCTCGTCTTTTCATATGCAAATTAAACTCATTTTCACAAGAATGGTTGAACACCAGGCCTCGTTTTGAAAAAGAGGTCAAGGGTAATTCGGAATTGGCCTATCGGTCACATGGGTGTAGAAAGAAGAAATACAAAATGCAACAACTCAAAATAGATTAGGCAATTAAATTTTTAAAGAAATGTTTTTCAATTGCAACACGCAGATGCTGTCTAACTTGCCAATTCCTGGCATCGATTGATTGCATATTTTTCCCATTCGATTTCCCATTCGATTTCCCGCTTATTTACATTTGGTATCTCAACGGAGGGCGCTTAATCGAACAGGGCACTTATTTCTTATTTGAGAAACAGCAGAAGATGTGAAACAAAGCTTTGATGCTTATTTGAATGAGGATCAAAATTACTTGTGATCCATGCTTCCTTGTAGAATATTAGACCCTTAGCGCATAATAGCGCGAAGTATTACAAAGTACGTATTTTCGTGTCAAATAGAGGCTATCGTTTATACTTTTCAGGCCAAATGGATGCTATTGTGTATTTATTTTCAAGGCAATGGTAATGTTAGCATTTAGGTATAAGTTCTTAGGTGATTCCACCTTATCTCATGACCATTCAATATGCTGTACCAAACGATAAATAAAATTTATTGACTCTTTAACAATAACACTCTCGTATATAATATGAAAGCCACATCAAAAACCAATGAGAAAAAAAAAAACCTTTTTAAAGCCAGCCACACCGAGACTCGGTTTCCATATGATTTACCATTCTGGAGACATCACAGCTAACATCTATCATATCTTCACAGCCTGCAGCACTCGGTGCAAGTTACTTGACATTCACCATTTTTTCCTACAACAAAACCAAATGCTAACTTTCGCAGCGAATGCTCGAAAGTTGACATCCAAACTATTTCCAATTGACTAATTCGCTGCGTTTCCAAAACTTAAACGTCCTCTGAAGTCACCGGAACATTGATTTTGTATAATTTCATGTTAAGTTCCTCTTCAGAGTAAGGCGTGGTTCTTTCCTCAAAGTGTTTCTCCTGTGAAGCACTGGCAAAATGAATTCCTTATTTGAAACAGACATTCAGATATAGTTCACAAAGGGCCGCTGGTTGAAACTACTGTGTTTACTGTGAGTGTACCTGCAAAAAGAAGGATGAAGGATCAATTCATAATATGACTGCGAGAAATTCGGCCAATTTATACGAAGGGAAAAGATCAGCGTCTGCTGTGAACATGCGCGATAGGATAATAGAACCGAGAATTTTGAAAACAATTTCAAAGCGAGCGCTCATAGCTGAAAGGAAAGGAAAAAAGCCAGTATGAGTAGAGTCGATTGATTGGGGATTATAATGTAATAGTGCGTACAAGTAAAGAAAATCACTCCGACAATCGTATATTTTACGCTAAAAACGAAATCTGAGTTTTTTTACTACTCTATAGTGTGCCTAGCTTCAGCCTAAAACTAAACGATATTTTTAGCAGCTACGAAACTGTTAACTGTCCGATCTTGTGGCCTCCGAGTAGAAAAGAGCGATATGATCATTGAACGGCGAGAAAAGTGATTAATCGCAAATATTTACCTAGAGTGTTACAAAGAGTTAAGTGACAAATCGTGGTGGCAAAATATTTGTAAAACTTACTTCTGAAAAGAAGAAATGGTACGGGCATTTGAAAGCCAGAAAAGTTCACTATCTGGCGGAAGAAATAATGTTTTCATGATTTTGGCCTTTATAATTAAATGTACCTTGGTTTCTGCTTTAAATCGAAACGCTTTAAGCGAGGCTATGTCCTGAGCTGAAGTATGTCACAGTTTCAAGTCGTCACCAGGTTGCCAAACAAAATTCAAAATGGTGGTGTTAGTTTTGGAATTCTGACACAATCGATACTAGTTTTCAAGTATTCATGTAAACTGCGTTATTCAATAGAAGAGATTAAATTGACGGGTTTACATATCAGTAAAGTTCTTTCGAATTAGTTATTATAATTATACTCACCGACTTAGTTCTTGTCAGTGTTTGGTAATTGTATTTTTATCTCCCATAACAACAGTGTCGGCTTTATCGATGTCCACATTCACATTGGAATCTATCAGAACAACCAAACAAACAAAAAATTCTTGAACTCTGTGCACTACACATATCTTATTAGACGTTTTGGTGTGTAGTAATGCTGATCATTATCCAACTACACTTCGTAGAGTACAAATAACGCCATAGACGAGTACAAATATGACGCGGTATTTGAAGCCCAGAGAATCGGTTGGACAGGTTTTCTCGCATCGCACAAGCGAAGAGTTGAATTGTAGTTACGAAAAAAAAAAATGGCGGACAATTTGAATCATATTTCAGACGACGAAGAGTCAGAATGGCTGGCAAATATACATCCAAGTTTATTAGATGAATCGAACGAAGAAAAACAGCTAAACGACCTGGAAATTTCTTCATTTATTGAAGAAAATAGAAACAGCAACACCACAACGCGCCAATTCCGTTCCGCTTCGCATACTTCTGTCACGCACTCCCCGTAAATAAATATCCGTAAAATTCGCCCGCACTGAAAAAACAGTTTCGCTTGTTGGATAATAAATAACTTATTTGACGTTTTGTTGTGTTGTATCGCTGAGTATTTTTACTCGTTATTTGTAATTTGACTCGCCCTACGGGCTCGTCAAAATACGGCCCAACTCGTAAAAATACTCAGCGATACTACACAACAAAACGTGTAATAAGATATATCTATTTTTGCGAGTTGCCTGTCTTTTGACGAGCCCGTCAGGCGAGTCAAAATACAAACAAAGGGTGAAAATACACAGAAATACTACATAACAAGACGTCTAATGAGTTATTTATTATCCAACTATTTTATTTCACATGCATTTCTTGTAAGGCGAGAAAAGCGAAGCAAGCGTAGCTGACCGGTTAAACAGGTTTTTGTTTTGTTTTGTTTTATTTGTTACGGTACAAAATAACCAACTGTCTAATATCGCGTGATATTTGTACTCGGAAAAGGTATCGTACTATCTGTCCAATACTGAACAGGCGCATGGCAACATAGGAAAGGTTTCTTGAGGGAACGCAACACACTTAACGCAACAATGGGCCTTTTCGCTGCCATAACAGGTCTTAAACACTTAAAGCACTTAAAATGGATAAAACATTTGAACCGTTGGAGAGCGTTTGAGAGCGTTTGGTCAGAACTGTTAAAGAAGAATCAAAGCGGCCATCTTTGAAAGGCTTCAAACTACGGCGTACAACGAATTTGACCTTCTCGATAACCGGTCTCAAATTACATCCTAAAAAACAGTGCTTGCGTTTGTCCTTGAACGATAGAATACGCGACAAATACGTACAAAAAATACTTCTACATGTTCGTTATAGATCAAATTACATATAATTATCGTTAAGGGAAAAAGAAACGGCCTAACTTTTCCAGAATGTTCAGTCAAAATCTGCCGATATCTGCCGCTTTTACCGCCATATTGAAAATAGCGCTACCACAATGCAATGCAATGGGAGTACGCACACCGCCCAACCGACAACCGTCAAATGGCTAAAATATTAACCGTCAACCGTGAAAAACGCAATATTTTTACCGTAAACCGTTAAATAAGTGAGCCAGTGTTAGCCGTCGAATGTCTCAGATATCCTTAATTATAAATAAAAGTTTTGATAGATCAGAAAAATACATTTATGTAAGTGACAGAACTGACTTCCGGTGTAGAAACATTTCCGGTGTCGTAAAACGTTGTTATAAAATTAACAGTTCTCTACAAACGCGTCATTATGAAAAATTACAGCCAAATTCGCCTGTTTAGTTCGTTTTATAAACGACATTCCAAAACTAACCATCAGCTGTGAAATAACCTAAAATTGAACTGTCAACCGTCAAAAGGGCTTATTTTTAAACGTCAATGTGAACTCCCCCCCATTGAGACCCTCTTTCTTAGTCTTTTAAAGTCACATGCCCAGATCTCTTTGTTGCTCGTAGTTGCAATTTGTTAGTGACATAACCTGTTCTTGTTATTGGTACCATTTAGATGTAAATGCTTTTCAATTTACTCTTCTGAATTGAGATTTATCTTATTTTTAAAAACATTTTATTGTTTTCTTTTTTTTATTATTTTTAAGAGTATAAATAAAGTGTGTATCAGTGTACATGTATGTAAGTCGAGCTTTATCTTTCTCGGAGTCTGTTAAAGGTGCTAATTATGACTTTATCTAGAGCAGAGTAAAGTAGACATCTATATTTATACAGGATAGCCCTTTCAGTGTAGTAAACACTGGTATCAACTGGGGGTCCTAAAAGTTTGTAGTTTATCAAAACAAAGATCCAATCAAACCAGGGGGTTAGGGAGAAAATGCAGAGTCTGCGGAGCGTGGAGAATTTTTATTGCAGCTTTTAAGAATATTAACGAATGTGTTTTCATTTCTAATCGTGTTTTAAGTCAATTTTAAAGTGATTTAAAGTAATTTTGTTGTTTTAAAAGGACTAGTTTAGCTTTCTCTTGCGGGGTATTTAAAGCAGTAGTTAATATTTGCGTACCTGTAGTTAAGGATATGACACAATCAAAGAGTATTATGGAATTAAAGGTTATTCTTATTTCGCATTTCCATTTTTCCACACTCAGCACTCCGTGTTTTCCACCTAACCAACCAAAGGTAATAAACTCGCCCTCAAATATTCAAATCAAACGACGAAGTCCAATAATTTGACTGGAACCAACCTGGTTGTACGAGTATCGTTACGTTAGCTGGGCCATCAATATGAAAATCAGCAATTTGGTCATTTCGCAAATAACTTGCAACGCTATGAAGGTCTTTTCTCTTCGCTTTTTCACTTTCCAAAAGCGTTTTGTCAGCGACTTCAGGTCGTGGTTCTTTCAACTTTCTCTCAACAATATCGAGTGCTGTTTCCTTCCCCTTGAGGAACGAAGGGCCAATTAGGAGGAGATAAAAAGGTATAGTCAGAAAACGAATCAAATGGCCCATCTAAAGAGAGCTTATCCCGGTTTCCGTAGCATGAAACGACTTTCCCTTGGAGAGGAATTTTTCCCTCCCAGGCTATTACCCCCGCACACCCTTGAACCCTATTCCCGATATTTCGTCCGGTTTCCCTGAAAGTTGGACCATACTCATTTACATAAAGACTGGTCTGAGTCTTTACGCCTGGGGGAGGGGTCAGAGAAGTTTGGCTGCGTCACAATGAGATAGCAGTATTCTAAATGACCCTCCCTCAAGGGGAATCAATTTTTTACAGTTCCTCTATCAGAGAAGAATGATCCCCCTCCGTTCTTCCTAAGCACAATTTGCATAATGACTGGTACCTTCTTTGTTTTTCCCATACTCTCCTTGCCCAGAGAGCTGTGCGTGCAAAAATACTAGCAATTTGCACTAATTCAGGATCACCAGGCTTCCGACTGGCGAAAAGCGAAATATTTTAAGCCGCTGTGCTTGTCTGATTTTTCCTTCATGAACCATTTAAAACTCTGGTACGAAATTCCTGGTTCGTGACCTCATAAATGTTATCTAAATATTCATTGAAATGATGTATTTTAGTATCCTTACAAAGTTTTGCTTGGTACGGTCAGCTGGGCTGCGCTGATTGGTTAACAGTCTCTCCACAGTCTTCAAGTATCCCTTCTCAGCTGCCAAGTGTAGGGGCGTGAAATCATACTAGGAGGTTAATTAAGAGGAAAAATAAATTTGTGTGTCTAAGGCAGCATAAAGAATAAATGATAAGAAGGAAAACATCAAAGCTAAAAGGAGATAGATAAAGAAGTATGATGGCCAACTCAAGTATAGGCCTGAAAATTTAGTCGAAACTCCAATCTTACGCCAGCTCACGCCTGCCCAACAGTTATTCACGCCTGGCCCAAACAATGGTGCCATCACAGTCTTGACTGATACGATTCAAAAATTGTATTAATTTACTGTATAAAAAGGCTAAAGTCAAGAGGAGAGAAACAAAGTCCGTGCATTGCAGGCGTCTCTGGATTTGTTTGAGTTCTCTAAGAAAATGCTTGAGCTTTGAGAAAAACATATTCACGCCCCTGAGTCAAGAATGGATTATGAATTGTCTTTTAAGGCAAAATGATCAGGAAGAAATGCCTAGGGGACGGAAAAAAGGTAAGCTGCAGAGAAGACGTGGGAAGGATGAAAGGGAAGAAGTTTAGTAGAACCAAACAGTTAATGCTTTAGTTAAGGTTGAGAGTTGAGAGAAATAGTCAATTCAAGTAGAGATGGATGGGAGATAGGTCGGATAGAAGGAAGAAAGGGTGGAAGAAAGGAACGAATGAGGCAAAGTAATGATAGAAAACTATAAATTAAGGAACGTTGGAAAGCAAGAAGATAATTGTAGGCAATACAGCAGGGAAGAAGGGGCACGACGACGAATAAAGAAAGGTTAACAGAAATGGAAAAACTTAGAGGGAGTGTTGAGGACTGAGCACAGAAAGAGGCAAGATAAGGAAGAGTGAGCTTCTGGGAAAGTAAAACAGTGGGGAAAAGAATAAACAAAAAAAGGAAGTAAAATGATTTAAAACTTGAAAATAGTAGAATAAAAATAAGTATGACGTATTTTCTAACCTTAGTGTTCATTCAATTTTATTTCAATCTTTAATGAATTACCTAGAGTTTCAATAAATGCTTAGAAAATATTAGAAACATACAGAATCACCCAAGTTAGTTTCTGCTCCGTGTTCTAACAGCATGTTGATGAGCTCCAAATCACCCAGTCTGTCATTCACAACAAAATGAAGGGGTGTCCAGTTAAACTGCAATGTTTTACAAAAAGAAAAATTGAATATTTTACCTCCCTCATCATAATCGCCCAGGCCACAGATTTTCACTGTTGTTTTACAATGTTGATACAGGGTTCAGTTGATATGAATTCATCTCCAAGGTCTCTTTGACTTGAAAAATTATTTATAACTAATAATGATGATAATAATGATAATAATGATGGTAATAATAATTTTTTTTGATATTACATGATCTTTTATTTCACAAAATCGGTAAAAATACAGGATAACAAACAAAATTAAGACAAATTAAAGTATAAATATTAAAACAAGTTTAAAATGTCTCTAGCTGAGAGAAAAGTCTTGAATCTCTTCGGTATTAACAACTTTTCTACAGAGTAGCAGAATTCATCTTATGTCTGCATTATTTTGCTTCAGCTTCATTCAACAGAACAGCAAATAAATTGACGATACATGATCGACGTCCTTAATAATAATAGTAAATTTTTCCTTAAAAACAATTTCATAAAAAGCAGTTCTCTCCAAAAAAAAAAAAGAAGAAAAATTCAGTAAACTAAGCTACATAATAAAAAATTGACTGCTTAAATTCTGGCTTGCGCACTTTCCGATGTAATGTCAGTGTCAGACATATTGGCTACTCTTCTCTTTCTAATATTATTATTATTAATATAATACTAATAATAATAACAATAATAATAATAATAATAATATAGTTTATTTCGGACCACTTGCAGCCTAAGGCTGAATTACTGGTACAGTTTTAAAAATATACACACTGGAAAGCTATTGCTCAAATAGTGCTTTACTGCGAAGGATCGTTCTCATATACGTCTCATAACCGCAGTTCACACATATGTTTCATATGTTTGTTGTTGTTTGATTTATCATCTACGGGTTTATATCGAATTAATTTGATGGCCTGCTCCCAGTTGGCTTGTTAGCTCAATTGGTGGAGCGCTGCACTAGTATCGCAGAGGTCAGTGGTTCGAATCCCGTACAGGCCTGAAATTTTTTTCAGGTCTGATTTTCACTATTGCTCAAATAGTGCTTTACTGCGAAGGATCGTTCTCATATACGTCTCATAACCGCAGTTCACACATATGTTTCATATGTTTGTTGTTGTTTGATTTATCATCTACGGGTTTATATCGAATTAATTTGATGGCCTGCTCCCAGTTGGCTTGTTAGCTCAATTGGTGGAGCGCTGCACTAGTATCGCAGAGGTCAGTGGTTCGAATCCCGTACAGGCCTGAAATTTTTTTCAGGTCTGATTTTCACTATTGCTCAGATAGTGCTTTACTGCGAAGGATCGTTCTCATATACGTCTCATAACCGCAGTTCACACATATGTTTGATATGTTTGTTGTTGTTTAATAATAACTCTCTTTAATAGCAATAGAATAATACCTATATCTACATAATAATCAAATGTACAGGAACAAAACAAAAAATCGCTTAGGTTTCAAAAATGTGACTAAAAACTAGGCTAGAAACTTGTTTTATAAAAATTCTAATAACAATAGCAACATTGATAGTAACAATAACGATAATAATAAAAAATTATGTAAAAACTTAATATAAAAATTCAAATCTTACCCAACAATAATCCTAAAAATTGCATTCATTCTATACTTGCATGGCTAAAATAAGAGTTTACTGCTAAAACTATCAACATAAAAAGCAACTAATAATGATAATAATGATAATAATAATAATAATTAATAGTTCCATGAAAACTTTATTAAAACGAAAATTCGACCTAATGACAATTCTAAAAATTACAATCAATTTAAACTTGCAGGCTAAAGCAAAATATATAAGAGTTCACTGCTAAAATTATCAACAAAGAAAGCTATTAATAATAATAATAATAATGATAATGATAATGATAATAATAATAATAATAATAATAATAATGACAACATGATAATAATGACGTATGACCATAATAATTGTGAGGTTGAAATTGCAGCTGCCAAGGGAGCCATTGACATTGTTTAGTGATTTTAGCAGCCTTGTTTATAGGGTTCTAGATTTGCCATTCACCTTTCTCTTTTCTGTATAGTTTTAGATATGCTTTTACTTATCAGATTATTAGACTTTGAATCTGTTCAGATTTGACTCCATTATATGATAATAATGACATGATAATAAATCAGGACATGATAATAATTGTAATTTTAATATTATGGCGCAAGTGTAATAGTCTTTCAGTTGTAAACTATACTCAAGCACATGAAGTCCTAAACTCTTTTTTGTTTATATCATTATGATCTCTTATGCAAATTACTGACATTGTATGCTAGAAGTTTGTGGTTGCCATATTGAATTTCCATTTGTAAAGGAAAGCAAGGCAAAATAAATGAAAACATACTAATCGAAACTGAAAATTCGACAATTGTCAAGCAGAAAACTAAATTGACAAGCAGAAAGCTTGTTTAATCAGAGAAGAGTTTGAAGAAACTGTAAATAGTCGCAATTCACTTCTGGCTTACAACGCGTGACTGAAACCGAGTATAGAATAATAACTATTATTATTCAGATCATGACACTAATTCCATTATTACCGGTTCCGACTTCCTTTACTAACGACTTATTCCGACTTCCTCTAATACCGATTCTGACACTTCCTTTATTACCGACTACCGATAGCAATTGACCAACGCAAGTAAGCTCACCATAGCAATTTGAAACCGAAAATGACAATACGGGAATTTTCCCGGAAACTGAAATTTGACCTCGACGACTTCAAAACCTGAAAGGAGGTATATTTACATATATATAGTGTATAATTCTGCAAACCAGATTTCCTTCTGAATTCAAACATGTCTAAGTGAAGTACAAAGTAAAATGCCAAAATAAACAATAAGAAAAAGAATCTTGCGAATTTGCACTGTGTTATTCATAGCGTAATATTGCGTAATACGATTGCAAAGTGCACCGTTTTTAATGAAATTAAGAGTGTGTTTTTAGCGAAGAATTATGCCGCGGAATGTCGTCAAACCACACAATTCACACATCTCGTAAGTCAAGCCTTAGTTATATTGGAATTTATGTATAGGTGAAAAGCAGAGGAAATAGTTTAACAGTAGCAACGAAATGATTTTGAAGACTCCTACAGGTTTTGTCTTGAAGCAATCATGGCTGACAACTGAATTTCGATCAGCAGCCGCAACAAAGCCACTTTAGTCTCGTTTTCAATAGGGAAGTAGAAGGTTTTGTTGTGTATAAATTACGAAGAAGTGCTCTAAAATACCAAACGGGAGATGCTACTGATAATCTTTACGATATGTGCAGTGTACCTTCGGGTTACAGGGATCTCGGAAGTTCGGAGGAGCCCTGTTCCTAAGAAGCTCCAGAACTCGTTCTTTATCGGTAGGATTTTTTCGTAGAGCAGTCCAAAGCTTTTTTCCTTGGCAAACTATATCGTCAGATTCTTTTCCTCCCATTCTCTCTGCCATTTAGAGAGAAAAACCACGAAAATGTACAGTCACCCTGTCACAACGCTACTCAAATGAGAGTGTTTATTCTTGTGCACCACGTGGCCTAGAGACTGTGACAACACTATTGGTCACATGGATGTCAAAAGGAAAAAAAAAAAAGCAGCAAACTCAAAATAGATCACTCAATCAAATTTTTTAATCAATTTTTACATTTGCAACACGCAGTTACTGAATGACTTGCTAATTCTTCGCTTAACATCGATCGATTACATAATTTTCCTGTTTACCAACTCCGGAAACCGTTTGACTCGGTATTCTATAAATTCATTAAGAATACAGCTAAAAGAAAATGAAGCAATTGAGGTTAAAATAACTCTAATTTCTCTAAGTAAAAGAACATCGTGTAAGATTTTCAATTTACGGCTGCCAAATAAATTTTTCTGGGGGGTGCAATATACTTGCAGATAGTTGCAACTGCCTGCAGGACTGTCGTGAGTTTTTAAGAGTCTGTCCACGAGACGAGAGGACCAAGCAGGCGTGACACATGCCATCTCACCGATTTCTCTCAAACATTCACAGATGATTAAGGTCATAAAGTTATTCAAGAGTCCAAAGTGGTTTGGGCTCCCGGCTAATCCCTGGGCTTTCACATCAAATCCCAGGGATAAAACCCCAAAATTAAACCTAAAATTGTGCTTTCAAATAGCATCTCTCACACTAATAAAATGCGGTGGATTTTGATCTCATTTCATCCGACAATTCTTTGAACCTTAGGTAATAGAAGGTTCGAAGTTGGATAGATTTGAAATTAATCTCGCCAATCGAGAGCATTTCATAATTAACCCTGCCACGCGACAATATCAAGAGACCGAAAATTAGGCTTTTTTAATTGCGAATATCTCCAATGGGCAACGTTACATGTCGATCAACATGTGATCACAGTAAAACCCAATCATAAGTACTTTTTGACCACAAGCTTCTGGTTAATGAACCGAATCAAATCTTGTGACGCCAAATGTTTTGTTTTTTGGCTCTAAAATTATTAAAAGATTTTAGTTGCATAGCTAAGGTGTTGAATTAATTGTACTAATTAGTAGATATTGACTCAACTCACTGACAGTTACTAGTAAATCTAATAACACCGATTCATGTTTATATACTGAAAGTCAACAGATGAAATCATACTTCTTAAATTTATTTTCAATCATGGAGCGCGCTTAAAGTAATCTCCTTACAAAAGAAAAAACAGCTGTCATGTAAATTTACGTGTGTGGCGTGACACGTTTCTGTTACATGTACTTCAATGCATGAATTCAGAAATAAAATTCGCTGAGCTCGAAAAAATAAAGTCTCTCTTTGATAGACAATCCACATTCGACTTAGGTTCAAGTTATTTTCGTTCACTATACTAAAATCTACCATTTCAACTTTGTTGATATATCCAAATTAAAATCTAATTGCATGAGTATTTTTCTGAAATCAGGTTAATCTAAATAGTCAGTTTCCTTGCCACTTTGTGCTTGTATTCATCATAATTTTCTCTATTCTATTCAACTATGATGTGGCAACTAGAGTGATTTTACTAGACCCATGAAACTGTAGTTACTGCACTATTAGTTAGTATTACGCACTATTTCCACTGTTTTCTTTTTATTATTTAGTTTTAACTACTACGCACTTACTGTTAGATACTATTTTACAGTAAATTATTGTCTTCGCGCCCTAATCAATCCTCCTTGAAATTACGTTTTGTGGTATTATTTACCAATCCGAGAATAATAAAAAACGGCATTGGAAGATTCATTTTTCATATGCAATATTTTCAATTTTGAAAAACTAAAAGTGCTAACGAAGTAACTGAAAACTTATTGCAAAATACTTCAGATGTAACAAAATTTTACTAAGTAGGGAAAGAGCTGCTCAAGTCTATAAGCTAGATTGTAAGATACCCCGGTTATTTTGATTTTTGATGTTGATTTTCTAAAGTAAGTGTTAGTGGAGTATCCCATAGTAGTAGTCTTGCTCACAATTATTCACGTTAGGATTGGAGCTGGCCTCTTAAATGTATTTAATGGACATAAGTGCTAAGCTCTTTTCCACGTTTCATTGCACTTACAATTGAATTTGTATTGCTATATGTTATGTGGCAAGGGGTTGCTAGTAGCGTTGTGGTACTCAAATGTAGAGGGATTTGCTTTCCACTGTTTAGCCAGGCTCCTCGCCAGATATTATAGCCAGTACTTTTTACCTCACAGTATTCAAGAATGCCTTTTGGAGGTTATTCATAATTAAATAGAGATTACTTCGCAATTATACATAAAATACACGTTTTAAATTAAAGTTCTAGTTCCCTTCTTATTTGGAATCTTGTCTCCATTGCTTCTACTTCCCTGATATAATCAAGGTCCTCTTCCTCCTCTTGGGAAACACTTACATTTGGCTTCAAGACACCACTCTTGTTAAGGGCTGACAGCCTGCTGAAGTAGTTGCAACTTGATGTGTTGAAAGCCATTCTTCCTTTGAAAACAATTTATCTCCATTTGACGACCTATGACTCCTCATTCTACATGCAATATAAGCGGGATTTGCTTTAACACCGGTTTCTTCTCCTTGGAATAATATTTCCTGCAAATAAGAGCGAACGCGTTCGGAAAATCGGATTGACTTCTTTGATTTCTCTATTGCCCAACCCTCCTCCAGTGATAGATTGTCAGCTGATACTGATGAAGATTCTGTCACTGACGGTGCACCATCAACTTCACCTCGCACTTAGTCTCCTGTAACAGTTTTACAGGTCTCTGCCCATTTTGCTATGATGCTGTCATAGTCCGATTCTCTTTCTAACTTGATTAGGTGGCGTCCAACATCAAGATGTTTCTCTAGACCTTTAAACTCCTTGTAGACTTTGACACATCCTTGTTCAGGGCAGGAATAGGAGGCGACCAATCGTTTTGCTGACTCTGCCTCGTCTGATTGAATTATTTGCACCTCCGTTGGCGCTTAAGGTCCAACAACTTGGGCCTGCATGGCACCTGCACGAAACGTGCCGACATCTTGTAACGGTTGCATTGTTTTTGGCTAAATGGCTGAAGTTTTTTGACACCTGTGGGACCTTGTGGAGTACAATACTTCTGAAGCTGTGCCAGCGAAAAAAACCTGCCGGTGCCCACATTGTATGCCTTCCAAGCTCTCAGTCCAGCTGAGTCGAACAAGAAGTTGTTCAGTGCGCGAATTCCAGTCATGCTATGTTTCGTCATACTTTGAAAAGAATCTTGGATTTCTGCTACAGTTGGCATAAAAGCCCTTTACCCCACCATACGATTCAATTGCAACCCTTAACGTAATTGGCGGTGTTTATGTCATTTCCCTCGTTTACAAAATTGCCGCATGTGACTTTTATGAGTGGCTATACGGTGGTCACAGACATCTTTGCCGGCTTGGGATTGCTGAGGTCATAGCGCAAGATTCTGATTTCGACACGCTCACCAAGACTTGCCAATGACAGAGTAAGATATGCATTGTGGTAGCACCCAACGCGATTGGATCGCAAGAAAGCTTCTCTAAGGCTAGAATNATAGTTGAATTCTTAAAATTATAGACAAACGACGTTATTAATCTTGTATTATTAGTTGCAGTCTCTTTTTTATGTATATACAAACACGCCCTCTATGTCAACCAGCTGATTTTTCTTGGGGCTAGCCTGTTTCTTTTATTTAATAAAGTATACCTACCTACCTACCTACCTACCTACCTACCTACCTACCTACGTACCTACCTACCTACCTACCTACCTACCTACCTGCCTATGTACCTACCTACCTACCTACCTACGTACCTACCTACCTACGTACGTACCTACCTACCTACGTACCTACCTACCTACCTACCTACCCGCGCTAGGATGTCGTTTACTGGTATCGGTATCCGGACAACTCACCCCTGGACAATTAGCCCCCCAGTCTTTGGTTAGCCACTTTTCTCTCTACTATTAGCCCCCAACCCACCATCCTTGAAAGAAACAATGCTCTTGCTTTTTACTTTACAAACGTTTCCCTATCATGTATTTTGAATTCAACAATGTTCTTGTTATTTGCTTCTGAATTGGATATATGTTTATCCTTTTGGAAGAGACGTCGACTAAGCAGATTTTTGAACAAACGCTGACTTTAACAACAGTTAAGTTTTGTGTTTTATGTTGTCAAACTACAAATGAAAGAAAATACATACGTTACAATATTCTACAACTAACTACAGGACTTGCGAAAGTTACAAGAAACTCACTAATTAAAACTACTTACAATTCTGGTTGCCTTCTCTTCTGACTTTTTGAAGCGAGGCACGTATCTATTTATCCTTTTACAAAAATATGCGTGTTAGGTAATACGCGTATCTTGAAACAATAGTTTTAACGCCAAACAATGACTTATTAATTCACGAGGGAAATTCAAACTCGCTACCACCACAAAAGCGAAATTCACGAGGTAAATTCGAACGTAGCCGATTACTGCACAAGCGCGATATTTGAATATTTGGCGAAAGTACGTTTATGTCAAATCTTACCCTGGGGAGGAGGAGGGAGTTACTTGTCGTTCAGGGTCACTTGCTACTTAGGGAGGGTCTGTCATCGTAGCTGTGTTTATGGCCACGCACTGAAATAACATAAAATTATCATACGGCAACAATAGTAACTTTAATTATCGGTCGATATATCGACCGGGGCGGCCGTTAGTAGACATGATCCTAATCTTTTTACACATCTGGAGGCTTGCTCCTCTTTCTGGTTTTCGTCGCTTATTGCCATGCAGAGGATGGTAACATTTGAGACTTGGTCTCCACCAGGTTCCTAGCGCAGCGCGATGCTTCGGAAACACTGTTATATCGTCCCCCATCTCATCAAAGAATCCCACTCTAGCTAGAATGACTGAGGTCTTTTTTCGACCTAACAGATGTTTGAGCAAACTTCAGTTGTCGCAAATGAGATTTGATATCCCTCGCACAGGATAACAAAGGAAATAATTCATTCTTCCCTGGAAATCTCACTGAAAAATCACAAGTGCTCTTGGGATACGAAGAGAACGAACAAGACATTTGGGCAGCCATA